TTCGTCCATTCTTCATAAAAATAACGTTCGAAGATCTGAAGAACGAAACTCGAAGATTCGAAGATTTGAATTACAAGACTTTGAAGATTGGAAGATATGAAGAACGAATCTTTGAAGATTTGAAAATATTCGTATGAAGATTGAATCAAGATTCAATTGAAGATCAAGCCATATATCACGGGAAGCCCTTTAACAGAAAATCAAGCCATAAAATGGCTCTTTTGATGAAGATCAAGCTACTTGAAAACCGGAGGCCCTTCAAGCTGAATTCTGCATTCATGAATATTTGAATATCCGAAGAATGAAGATTCGAAAATCTCAAGAACGAAGATTCGGAGATCTAAAGAACGTTTAAATATTTGAAGGATTAAAGATTTAATTTTGAATTAAATTCTTTAATTATATTCATTTCAAATTGCAAGTAGGGCTGCACAAGAATAACGTGAACCCGCATAACCCGCCCGATCCAACCCTACCCGACCCTATTTAATCAGGTATTTGATTTTTAAAAATATTCATGGGTTAAATGTGTTTGAACCCGCACCTAATAGGTAGGGTTGCGGAATTAAAATCTCAAACCCGATAGTACCCGACCCGGTCGAAGTTCATTTTACTATTATTATGCTACAACGTTTTCTTGGATAACTTCAATTTAAGACCAATGTGCTCTATCTAGGACTTTATGATATTAGAATTATAATTAAACATTTATCATTTTGACTAGGTGATTATAATATATTTACGTTTCCTTCTAAATGAACTTCCTTTACGAAAGGATGTTTAAATACTATTACCTAATGTTTTTGCTTATAAAAGATACGAGTAATTGTATTTGTTAGTGTGTTTTGGAAACAAGGTAATCGAGTTTTAAATTGGTTAAATTAATTTCCCACATGAAAGATGCAACCTGAAGTGCTTTTTTCCCCCAATACCCAACCCTATCCGACCCGTTTAGCATGGTTTACCAACTTATTTTACGTACCACGGGTTGGTCAATAGTCAACCCGAACAAATCGGGTAGGCCCAAAAAATATAGCAAACCCGACCAATCCGCCCGATGTGCAACCCTAATTGCAAGTGAAGAATGAGGGGATTCATATTTAGATATTGAACCCAATATTCTCATATATTATTATTTACGATCAATTTTATTGAATACGTAAAATTTGTTTCACAAATAATTGGCACATCCGGTGGAACAATTCTTCCTCTCATCTTTTCACTTTTGACAAAGGAAAACGAACCAATAGCATCCAGCAAGTTCGATTTCACTTTGAATTCTAGAGCGTCGTCAAGCTAGAGTCAAGGCATGCAAGGTGCTATCACTAGGAGCCGATCGAGAACCCTTGTCGCACAATCATCTTCAGGAACTACTATCGAGGCGATGCATGGTGGGATTCAAATTGCGCAACAGATGGTCTGGAAGTTTTCTTCATCCATACGTGAAGTTACTTCTCCGAAGTGGACAAGCACTAGTGAGAGTTCTTCATCTGGGTCAGACTATACTCCCTCGTCCACTCCTCCATGAAGAATCACTCCACTGTGGTCTATTGTTTACACTGTAATCAGGGGCGTAGCTAGGAGAGTGCCAACTCTGGACTTGGCCTAGGCCAAATTTAAAAAATGTCTATATTTTTAGTTCAAAAAAATTTGTGTAAAAAAATTCTCCAAAAATATTCTTTGTACCGGCCCAGTCTAACTCAGTACCCTGGCTCCGCCCCTGTCCGTAATGTTCACTATGACATCAAGCACCACGTCCATATATCAGTTAAATTTATGATCAGTCAAACATCGTAAATCGGGTGGGAACTTTTACTCGGGATGAAGGGAGTAGCAATTTTTTTTAAATCAAATAAAGAAAGTTAACAAAGTTTAAGTGTACAAAGGTAGTCAGAAATTACACCGTAAAACAAAGTCCTTGCTCTGTCCTTGATAACACTCTTCTGTGCGTAAAATAACGAGGCATTTTTTAACTTGGCATTGCCGGAAGAATAATGCCCTTCTTTGAGTAGACAACACAAAACAGAAACCTATGTGCACTCCTCTTAATTGTTGTTTATTCCAATTTCCAGGTTATTGTCACACATAGCAATGGGCCAATGGCTTATGTATTCTCATTTTGGACCTTATATGTTAAGTTCTATATAAAGAGTGCGAAATTGTATCTAACACGAGGCTGCAGTTTCTTGCATCAGAAACGCGCCTTCGTGATCAATTCACTGTTAGTGGTTCATGGTGTAAAAGTTTGTGGATCCTATTTTTAATATTCTAGTCTGTTTAACATTTGACTTCATCTTAAATGTCTTATGTCCTTGTGAGAAACGTGCACGAAGACAATGATGAATCAGAGAGCACATAGAGCATTCCTTTATAGCTCGTTCGGATGATCTTTGCATTTGAAATGATTACATATAAATCACTTTTAACGGAATCAATCACTTTGCATATAAAATAAAGGCTAAAGGGTCAAATAGGCCCAACTGACTTAAAGTGTGATTAGTCCCTTATATAGGAGGTTCTGCCCGGCCGTTGCCAATTGGGGCGGTTCCCGGTGGAATTTTTTGATGAAACTTTTGAGCATCTTCTTCATTGAGTCTAGTTAACTCATACCAAATTTCAGCTAAAAATTCAACCGGGAAGGCAGTCAAATGATTTTTTGAAGATAACGCGACGCTATCTTCAAAAAATCATTTGACTGCCTTCCCGGTTGAATTTTTAGCTGAAATTTGGTATGAGTTAACTAGACTTGATGAAGAAGATGCTCAAAAGTTTCATCAAAAAATTCCACCGGGAACCGCCCTAATTGGCAACGGCCGGGCAGAACCTCCTATATAAGGGACTAATCACACTTTAAGTCAGTTGGGCCTATTTGACCCTTTAGCCTAAAATAAATTACAATGTTTGTCTAGATGTGTAATTTATTTTTAAGTTGCACACAACGTCGTTGGAGTACTTCATAAAAAATGTGCAAAGTATTTTATCACCCTCCCTAAAATACTTTCCATGGTACAATATAAAATATTTTAAAAAGGTGTGTAGTTTGCATTAAATAATCAAGTCAAATGATGTAAACATTTTACGTCCCTGCATTTTGCGTGCAAAGTAATTATTTCACACCCTACCAAACGTCCTAAGGGCTTGTTTGGTAGTTTACAAGTTAAACCGTTACACGCGAAGTGATTGCATGCAAAATATAGGGAAGCAATAATTTTGCATGTAAAATAGCTTACATTGTTTAGCTGGATGTGTAATTTATTTTTAAATTGCACGCCAATCTGTTGCAATGCTTCGTAAAAGTCATGCAGAGTATTTTGTCACCCTCTCCCCTGTAAAATACTTTACAGGTTACAGTGCAAAATATTTTAAAAAAATGTCCTACATTTTACATCAAATAAGTAAACCAAATAGTGTAAACATTTTACGTCCTTACAATTCGCATGCAAAATAAATATTTTACATCCTACCAAACGCCCCCTAAGTGTAAAGCATCCCGAAACTCACCTTCTATACCAGGTCTGTCTCTTGCGGAAGTGTTCTCTATTAAACAATGCTGCTAATCATACTCATCTGTTATATTATGCCCTTTACCTCAATTCAATATCTCCTATGTGACCATAGTTGAAGTTTTAGGTTGTATACAATACTAACAAGCTAACAAAGATTGTGGAGAAGAAAAAATTGCAAAATTGGCTTGTTTACTACTCCGTATGAGACAAAGAATGTCTTCAAAAAAAGGTAACCCGTCCTTATATTATCTTAAAACTTTCCTTTTTCGTCCGTTCCAGAGTTATCATCTTTCCCTTTGACAAAGAATTTGTGATTTACTATAATTATTACACATTTCTCTCTTCTCTGCACAACTCTCCACCAATAATGGATGAAAGTAGGGACGGATGAAGTATCATTTTTTCCCAAAAGAATTTGAATAACTGGTAGTTTCCCTGGACAGAGAGACTCACAGAGTGTTCATTTAAGAGCAGAGTCTATTAATGTCATCATCTGGCACTATGGTAGTACTCCGTATGATTTAACAACGGAGTCTTTTACTCCTACTTAGAGGGAAACATAGTGTTCCTAAAATAAATCATTCCCTGCAGTATTTTTTACTCATAATTTGGAAAAGATTGTACCTGTATATGGTTAATGGTTTTAGACTTTTAGCTTCTTGATTTTAGCTTTTCGCCTTTTCCAGTGTTTATTGGGCCAGTTTTTGACAATTTTCCATCCTGGAGTGTATGCAGTGTTGTTATTTCTCTATGCCCACGCATAGAGGGCAAACAGAATGTAAAATTTCCTAGAGCGGCCATATTTGAGGTTGAAACAGTAAAGTATTTTTTTTGTGCTATTCTCTATTGGGATGTCAAAGCATGCTACATTGCTATCTACTAAAATGCAGCAGCACTTAGCAGACAGGTCATTTGAGATCGATTTTATGAATCAAAAAATGGTAATTCTGGGGAGGCACCATTATCCATCCCAGTCAAAGTGGGGAAGGCACTAGAAATACCATAGCATTCTATCCCAGTCAAATTGGATAAAGAAACATGAAATATCAAAGAACGGGGAAGGGGCAAATAACCAATCGGTTGAGGAAGTTATAAGAGCCACATCAAAGTTTCGCTTGTCTCTCTGTTGTTACAAGGACATTTAAAGGACAAGCAAAACATTGACACACATTTTCAGGTGTTCATAACCAAGAAATATTTGACTATAAGTCTATAACTGCTTGTCCAATTTACAGATAACACCATTTTTCACACTGGAAAATGCTAGAACTAGTGGTATTTAATTCAACTCTAATGAACCCCTAACTCAAACAAGCAATACACTGTTGTTTGATTTGAAAATCTCTATTCCAGCAAGCAAAATGTGTACTTCAAATTTTATGCTTGTTTCAAATTGATCAAAATTTAGTTGATCCAGTTTACATGACCTGGGTTCAAGATAATCACATTTACAGATATCAACATCTAGTGTTCTTTAATGGAAAACTGCTAATAGGAAATTCCAACCATTGCCTAATCATTGTGTAAGCACAATTAGGATCTACAATCACTGGTAAAGAAATGTAGACCAAACTGAAAGGCAAATTGCATTGCTTAGTCAAATTAGATTCCAAACAGACACTACCTTGGTGGATGATTACCAGTAAACAGCAAGATTTACATAAATTTTTTACTACCACCTTGCAAACCAAGCAACAAAACATAGCAAAACCCTAGCAGTTCATAAAATTACAGAAATCAGAAATCAAAATTAAAATAGACTTCAAAGCTCAGGATTAGGCCCTCTCTCCGCGAATCCTCCTCGCCAGCTGCATATCCTTAGGCATAATGGTGACCCTCTTAGCATGAATGGCGCAAAGGTTCGTGTCCTCGAAGAGTCCAACAAGGTAAGCCTCGGCCGCCTCCTGGAGAGCCGACACAGCGCTGCTCTGGAACCTCAGATCCGTCTTGAAATCCTGAGCGATTTCCCGAACAAGCCTCTGGAATGGGAGCTTTCGAATCAAAAGCTCTGTAGATTTCTGGTACTTCCGGATCTCCCTCAGAGCAACAGTTCCTGGGCGGAAACGGTGGGGCTTCTTCACTCCTCCGGTTGCCGGAGCGGATTTCCTGGCGGCTTTGGTGGCCAACTGCTTCCGGGGAGCCTTTCCACCGGTCGACTTACGAGCGGTCTGCTTTGTACGAGCCATTAGAGCGACTAGAGGATCAAAGAATATGTTTAGAGTTTAGATTGCGAGATTGATTCCGGTGGTGCGGTGTCTGGAACGTGTGGCTCCGGTAATTTATAAAGGGTTTCGAGGGCGGGAATGGTTGGGAATTTTGGAGGGGTTTGAAAATTTGTGTTTTTCTGACACGAGGTTCAGCCGTTGATTAATTAAAAAGTTTTGACGGTAGAGATTGGATTACAGATTGCGATCCGGATCGGGAATGTATGAAACTCAAGGCTTCATCTTACGTGTCCTTCGCTCCGTGTTGCTGTTTACGTTTATTTTTACTCCCTGATTTTTTCCTGTTCTTCACTAGTTTGCGATTCACAGCTTCATGGTTCATACCATAAATCCATTCAAATCATTGACAAAATTGAACTCAATACGAATCATGTGGATCATATGAGGCATAGGGGTCCATTTCCGCTATTCATACATTTTTGAATAATTTCATATGAGGCATAGGGGTCCATTTCCGCAATTCATACATTTTTGAATAAATTATACAGTGTGCACGGGAAATTATTTTTTTCGTTCCAACCTTTTTTTAAAACCAAGAAACGATTTTATTCAATAAAAAAGTAAATTTTACACTGCAAGGAGATAAGTAAAAGAAAAGGGAACAGGGAAGAAAGGAAAACAAACACATAAAAGACAAAAACTAGACTCAAGGGAAATTTTTGGACTGTGATCTGGTCTTCATGCTATGGCGTCTTTTATTATTTTGAGATTTCCTGTAGATCTTGAGTTGTGTGTTCAGATTTTCTGTTGATGGAAAGTTTTCTAAGGTGACCAAGTTTGATTTACGAAAAATCGATCTATTGAGTCTAGAGTTCTTAATTTCTTCATGGTTTGACAAAGGGGGTCAACGATCGTTTTCACTTGAATGACCTAGAAAATTGTATTTGTAGAAAGAGTCGTCAGAGTGGTCAAAGCTGCCCGAGGCATCAGAGTACGCATGGACAATTGGGCTTTGAGGTTGTTTCTCAAATGACTGGGGTTGTTGCATTTCGTCAAATGCTCTCTGAACTTCATGGTTAAAATGAGTTTGAAAATGTTGATTTCCTCTGAGTAGCGTGAAGATTCATATTCCCAATGCAGGGCTTCCTCCTGTTCTAAATTTGGTAATTCAACAAAATTAGTAAAAAGTTGTCAAAAAACCTGTGAGAAAGGACTTGTGTGGGTCCATGGGAATTGAAATGGAGGTCCCCTTTTCCTTAGCAATCTTACAAAAAAAACTGGATTGTTGAGCTCAGAGGAGACTGTTATAGCCCCGAATTTGCTGCTCCGCCTATGATTAAAAAATTTTGAAATTGTGAGATGGTAAATGAAAGGAAAAATTCCCGGGGTATGACTAAAATATAGTGAGTTTCCCAAAATGTGACTAGTAATGTTTCTTTCCCGAAATATGACCAAAAATTGAAAAGAAAAAAAAATGTTATATTAAATTGAGGAAGGAAGAAAATACCATTTTCTAAAAAAGATGCATTTTACGCTTCTTTCGTCAGGTAAAAATAATTCACTTTATGAAGGCATTATTCCACGACATTTACTACATGTTATGTTGCGTTCATGACATGACATATAATGCACTTCATGCACTTAAGTTATGGCACTTCAGTTTGTCGTTTTTTAGTTTTGATAACTTTAGCTTTTACGTTTAATTAAATATAATTCACTTCATGCGAGAGTTCTGACATGACATTACAAAAATATTAAGATTTTATATTTTTTTTCATTTTAGATTTGATAACTGCATTTTATGTCAATGTTAATGCGCTGCATTATTGCACTTCTTGTCATAATCACATTATTTATGATCATATCACTGCACTTCTTGTGATATTCACGGCATTGAGTACAAATTATTCATTGCACATGATCTTCAATCGTCTTCAACCTAGGGTTCATCTTCAACCCTAGGTTCGCCTTCAACCTCGGCCGCCTTGAGTGAAGAATCTGAGATGTTGGAGCGACGGTCCAACGTCATTCTTTGGGAACATTAATTATCAACCCTAATTTCAAGAAATACAATATGAGAAAAGGAGAAGGAGGCGATCGTGTGGCGGGCCTGTGGCGGCGAGCGCATGTTGTACAGCTGGCGGATGGATGGCGACAACACATCATCGTTGCGCAGCGCCTTGGCACCCGGGTCGAGCAGACGACTGCGCTAGCAATCCACTTGCTTATGCGTCGTGATTTGCTCCCAGGTCGGAGTTATGTGCAAGGCGGCGGTGACGCTGGATAGTGTGTGGCAGCGGTGGACTGTGGAGATGGAGAAATGTGCACATGACCTTTGGAGATGGAGAAATCTGCGATGGAGTGGGGTTCCGTTTATTTGAGCGCATTTCAATCTACTTTTTTTGTCCTAATTTCAAAGGGATCACATTTTTGTCATTTGCAAATCGAGGAAAGGGTCAGTTTGGTTCTCGAAGTTGCATAAAAGGGGTTAAATAAGTCCTTATATAGGAGGTTCTATCCCGCCGTCGCCATTTGGGGAGGTTCCCAGTGGAATTTTTTGGCGAAAGTTTTTTAGCATTGTGGACTACTCCCTTTCGCCTCGAGTACTCTCGGCTCAGATAGTGAAGGACTCCTGATGGAGTATATGAACTCTTGGCCCCCCAGTCTGGTGACTATTGGGCCTGGACAACGGTTCACGTACACCAGCAGACAACATTTATATTACTGTATAGTTTACACACTTATTGTATGTACTAGATTAGCCTTTTATGTAACCGGGTCTGTCAGGCCCATGTTAGAGGCCCATACAAGGCCGACTTTAGAACTTTGGAGGCCCCAAACGAAAAAACTTAATTTCTAAAAATCATATTAATGTGATTTCTATAATAAAAACACTACAACAAAATACACTTTTTGTAACATTTGGTTTGTAACACTATTTTATTTGTTACATATAACATTAAAATATGAAATTAGGTAACACTCATTTTTAAATGTTACATAAGCATGCGAAATAGACATATATGTAACACTTTATTGGAAGTGTTGCAAATTATAATGTATTTTGTAACACTTATTTATTTCATTAGTGTTGCATTACGGATGCTTTCGATCTGAAACCAGAATTTGTGGCCGCTGAAATTTTTCGTCATTGGCGCCGCTCCAAAAAAATCCTCGCGCCCACTCAACTCACCCTCACCATCTTAATTCTTTTTTGTGTGTTTTTCCCTTCACTTTTTAGAATTAGAATTACAATTGAAAACCCTTTCCTGCTTCTACCAATCAAATTCGCCGCTCATTCTCCCGCTGCTTACCCTCACCTTTCCAAAGTGAACTCTGAGTAAAACAAGGAGGGGGAGATGGAGTGAAGGGCTGAAGGCGTGAAGCGAAGGGGAGGGGGCAGGGGAGAACATGGCAACTGCGATTCTGGATTTCTGTTAAAGGCGAAGTGCGAAAGGCTGAAGGGCGCAGCCGCGTAGCCAGCGACTGAGTGAGACGAGCGACGAGCCGAGTCAGCCGACGAATCTCCGTCTCCTTCCTATTCGCAATTGACGAGCAGACTGAGCTAGCCCTGCGGCTGAGGACTGCGGTTCTTCACTCGTTTTCTTCTTCCCATCAGCAAATCGAAGACTCCACTACTCCAGGTACTGCTCATTATTTTGAACGGTGGATAGCTGCCAGATTACTTTGTTTCAATCTGCTGCTAGTAATGGTTATTGTAGATGATGATCTATTCCTTATCCTCAGTCGCTGCAATCAGCAAAGATGATGAGCATATTGGTCCCGTCCCCGGCTTCCCATCGAGCATACATACCAAAATTTTCATGTGTGAATAGCTGGGAGGAAAGAAATCAGGTCTCTATTAATCTGCCTAAATTTAATCTCAAATAGTTCAGCTATATTCACTATAATCTGCCTTAAGTTAATCTGCAATAATCCCATAGTTTATGTTTAATAGTTTTGATACATTCTTCTGTTAATCTGCCATAAGTTAAAGTTAATGCTATGTATGAAATAATCCAGACCTTATGATTTAATTCCTTTTGTTTCATTAGTTGTTACTTGTTAATTATTCTACTCATTAACAGTTGTTTGAAACTTGTGATTGTTTCGTATTTAGCTCTTGTACGCACTTGGTATCACCACAATTTTTTTGGGAAAAGATACACGTCTTGTAAGAAAGATTAAAAAGACAGTGTGTATATCTGGCTGTAATTGAGTGTTATGAGTCAATGAAACATATCATAGACACCCTTGTTGTTGGTGATCTAAAGAGAAGATTCTTTATCTTTTTATCTAATGAGTAATCTAAATTTGGCGCAATTTTTCACTGTGTCATTAGTTCCCTAATGTCATGTGTTTCTGTCTGGGTTGTTTCTTGCATATTCTATGAAATTGAGGAGAGTGTTAGACTATCAACTTTTCTCAAGGACCTCAAGATAAGTGCACTACCAGGAGTACATGAGAAGTGCATTGAGCTATTTGAGCTTTTGGTAATTTTTCACATAATTTCAGTCAATAGTCTGCTATGATTCACCTTTTCATTTTTCTGACTAATTATGTTCATGTTTACATCACTTTTTCACTAATTACTTCAGTTAATTATTTTTTCAGTGAACATTCTTCAACAAACTCTTGAGTATATGTTTAGACTTCTTGCCATGTTATTCTATATTGACACCCATTGAGATAAAAAAAATAAGTTGGTTAATTTATTTGGAAAATTTGCCTCATTGCACAGGTTAGGGGAAGTTCTTGGTTCAATTAAGATATCGAAATAAAAAACCTTATATCTTACTTAACTCGTGGTTCCTTTTTCTTTTTATTTTTAGTTTTCAACATGTCTTACTCTGTTGACATGCAATCATAGAGAGTTGTTAGCATGAGCAGATATATACCGTGATATCGAGCTTGGCTCACTCTCAGCAAGGTAAGTCAAGAAAAGTCTAAAAAAGACAGACTTGATTCAATTACTTGACGGATGTCATGAAGTCACTTTAATCTGATCAGTTTTTCAAGCTAATACTACTGATCATTCATAGTTTGGAAGGTCTGCGTGACATAAAACCAACACTATGCCACAATGGGTTGGTTCTTGGCATCTTGCTGGCAAT